GAGGTATGGACAGTGTAGTGTGCACAGGCGATAGGGAGGTCAGGAATCAGAGGTATGGACAGTGTAGTGTGCACAGGTGATAGGGAGATCAGGAATCAGGTATGAACAGTGTAGTGTGCACAGGCAATAGGGAGGTCAGGAATCAGATGTACGGACAGTGTGAATCCAATTATCAGAGTCCATGTCACAATAAACGCCATGAGAAAATGTAGGCTGATGATTTGGCACAACAAATATTTAAGATTGTCCAGTCCAGTCATTTGGATGAGATGTTAAATCGAGGTCCTGACTCTCAGTGGGCATTTCTCGATAAGAGTAGGGAGTTATCTCAGAGTCCGGGCCAAATTCCCCCCCTGCCCTTTACCAGATTGTCCCCCTGTATGACTGGCTTGCACTTGCCCTGCGATGGACTGGAGCCCCCTCCAGGGTGTACCCTGCCTTGCGCTCGTTGCTTGCCCGGTAGGCTCCGGCTTCCCGCGACACCGTATGGTATAAACTGGTTTGGCAAATGAAAGTTTCTGTAGTACCTCTGTCCTCACAGTTGCGGAGATGTGGAAAACTGGAGACTAGATTCAAGTGGAGAAGTAGCAGGCAAGCAGTCAGGCGCAAATGCCATCCGATGTCCTAAACCAGGGACAGGCTTAAGTCAAATCCAGGAAGAGGTGGGAGTAAAGCACCACAGGGAAATACAGAATGGAAGCTGAAAAAACAACCCGGGGTCAGAGCCAGAAACAAACAATAATGTTCAGCTTAGGGGACATCCAGGAAAGCAAAGTCAAAATGAACACGGTCACGTCACAGAAGGTAAGAAACTTGTAAGACTAGTAACCAGAGACTAAGACTAAGCACCAGAGAATGGAGAGAGGTTTTAAATTGCAAAGGAAGGTACAGTCTAAAAGGTGGCACTGATTGTACACCCTAGTGCATTATCACGGTAATTAATTGATTGACTGAATGAGTGCTGTTAGTGGTGATTCTGGAGTTGGGATTGCTGGATCTCCAGCAAGCATGAGTATGACAATTTCCACTTGTGTCCTCTGGGTCCATTTTTGATAGTGTTTATGCATTAATGAATTAAATGTGAAGAAATGTTCAGTCTCCAAATGTTCTAAGGAACTCCATCTAAATGTCCAGAGTACAAACTGAGCTAAGATTGTACAGCCTAACTGTTAATATTTCATGCCTTTGGTTGGAAGTAATAAACAACCTCAGGCTTGTTTGAATGTGCTGAAAGTAATACCATTCCTGCTGGGAAAATGGGTATCCCTTTAGTAAATTTATGTCTTTATATATACAAGCATGTATATACTGTATATATAAATGGCCATTGCACATTAACTGCTGGTGAAGCAGGAAGGTAAAGCTCTGAACAAGAGTGTAATTCACACCCCAGCAGTAAAACAAACCAACTCAGTTTTATAACTCAAGGCAGAGCTCACAAAGACACGTTTCAGACGACACTCCAGCAAGACCTTGGGCCCAGTAACTACAGCAGTTGGGGATTATGTTCAATTCTGAAAAGCTTTTCATTACCTGTAATATCTGAATTCCCACTTGGTATTTTATAGAGTTGAGTTAAAGTGTACAAGTCAGTTACTTTACAAGGACTCTTTGAAGCCCAAGACTCAGGGAAGATTTTTTTTTACACAGCTCTGGCTAAAAAGGAAAACACAAACACTCCTTGGTAAAGTTTCCGAAATGAGAAAATCAAATGCCTTTCCCTAATTCCTGCTTTCCTACGTTTCCTACCTACACTCAGTTTCATCTTGACTGTCTCCAGAGGATGGCTCCTATCTATAGATTGCTCACTCACAGTGAAACTTAGTTAATAATTATATTTAGCTTCAACAATATGGTCTGTGGATTTTCCAAGTATTAGGTCAGATCTTTACATATTCCTATACTTGCTCTCTAGGTCCACCTGGTGACCAGCTGTGGTTCTGGTCTGGAATTTACCTTTTACCTGCATTCCTAAACATAACACAGGTTTGTATCTGAATATACCACTGAATACAGCAATAGGTCACAAATAATTCAACATTTGTCAAGAAATTTGAATTATAGATAAGTAGAAAAAATATTGTCCCGTATAGAGTAAAGAGCTGCGTGATTTTCCTCAAACAATTCAGGTGATGGGTGTCTTGAGCTAGTTTCCAAGCCATACTGTTGAAGCTGATTCCCCAGGAACACTGAAGACATAACTGGATGAGACTTTCAATTAGCAACTCAAGAAGTGTGATGTTCCTCCTGGGTTTTTGTAACCTGTCTCACCTTATTAAAAGCATCAAGGCGGTAATGGGTCCTATAGTATTACACAAAATAACAACATGCTGTCAGTTTTAATGACCTAACACATTTAACATGATAACTGACATTCCTTTTGGGTTAGTTTTCAAAAAACGTGCCATGAGGTTTCAACTTATCTAGCAATAAGATTTGAAAGAGAACATAAAACAGACAGAAATCTACATCAAGTTCATGTCCACGATGTCGTCTTCCCAAGATGTTTGAGCAGGGAGCTGCGTCAGCATGTGTAGGCTGCAAAGGAACTGGTGAACGTTTATCCCGAGCTGAAAGGTCAAGTAAAGAAGGACTACAGTACGTTTTAGTTATGGAGTCTTCTTCAGGTTATAAGAACACACTCAAAACAGCTGGGCTTAATATCTGTGGGTCATTTTTGTTCTAAGCTTCATACCTGAAGACTCCACAGCTCAAACATTGTGTTTCTTTTCTTTACCTCACAGCATGAAACGAGGCACTACCTGTTCCTTTGCATCTTTCCAAGATGTTTCTTAAAGGTTTTGACTTTTATGATGCCACACATGGTGATACCATGCCATGTTTTTTTCCATAAAAGCCTCATTTCCCCTCTTACTGTAAGGCTCATAGATGTCCAGAATGAAAGTAAATGGGAATCATGAAGCAATTTCAGATGGTTCCTGATTTTATTTTTCTTCATTTTGAGCTGCGTACAGATGTACAATATGATACTCTCTTCCTTTGGCATAAATAGCACCTATGAACAACAACCATAATATATAGTCGATTTTAGAGTTGTACTGCACATTTTGAGCACCTTTAAAATAGACAATAAATAGTGCAATACAAAGTCAATAAGGAGTCTGTGTACATGAAAGTGGAGGTTCCTGTAGTAGCTCCCCTCCCATATCCCTATCCAAAAAAAGAAATGTTTGACATGAAAATAAAGGATATACGAGGCTCCAAAGTGGCAGACGAAGGTCCAAAGTAAAGCAAAAAAAAGGCAGCAACACTTGCTTTTATATTTTAAATTGTGTTAGAATAATTTCCTGGCACCAAGCACAACATACAATTCCTCTTCTGCTACGATTGCTGCTGACAAACTGATAACCTCCACGTCCATTAAAAAAACAGTCGTCGTTTCTTAAAAGCTACAAAGGCTCTTCAGTGCAGGCTGACACATGGGCAAAGGGACAGAACCGCATACTGAACCAAACCAGCATGGCCTGCCGCTGAAAACTGGAAAGTCTTCGATGTTTCTACAAACCTCAATGCGGGTATTTGACAGTGATCCAACCATGTTTTTTTTTTAATCAGAGGGGGGATCTATCAGTTAAAATTTTACTCCAGCTAATTAGGCTACTGTGTTGTTGGAGTGAGTTTCCTATAGCTGATTTAATAGACTGTTCTCCTGTCAGGAAGCTCTCATTGTGAGATTGTCAAGGTGTCTGATCACTTTCCAGCCACACAGGGGAATGAAGGTGGTTTGAACACTTATTTCCTAACGTGTTTCTACTGGTTCTTACCCAGGTATGATATTAAAACAGCTGCACTCTGTAACTGTCCATCCCTTTTCTTCTAGGCTGCACAGTTACGGTGGAGGTCAAGTATTATTTTCTTAGATGACAGTTTGGATGCAACACCTTTCAACCCATATTAAAAGGGTTAAGTTGAATCTATGCAAAGATGTATCTCCTGCATAAAGCAATTATTTATAGTAATTATATTGTATGTACTGTCCTGACATGCCACTATTTGAAATATTTTTAAGTCATATTACTCCCTTCAGCATTTAACAATATATTAAAAAGAGACACACTTCTCATTTACCATAGAAGATACTCAAATTACCATAGAACATGTTCAAACATTTTTGGTATAAACACCAAATATGAGCAGTGCCAAAGAGCTGAATATTTCAATGTCCTGACAGAGTTCGCTTAGAAGCTTCCATTTCTTACGTTGAACATGTTAAAAGGGTATTTAACATACATTTGTTTACCTCCATCAATGGCATTTATCCCACTGACTTATCAAATTATGACCTTTTTAATCTCCAGAATTTAAATGGCATTACAGGTGAGTAGTATCCTTTTTTGCTTTTTAAACTGAAAATCCACCAGTTCCAAATCTTGTGTTAAAAGTTGATCAGAAGTAAAACACAATTCATATTAGCTGTGCAGACACCAAAAATAATTATTCAGAAAATAAAAAGTAACACAAGGTAGCTTAAAGTCCTAAATATTTTTAGCTTTGATGCATATACAAAGCTGCCTGTTTTACATAATGAAGAAATAAAGTCATTTTCAATAAGAAAGAGTCACTACATATTCAAGTATATACTGTACTGACAACTGTATAAAGCTATCACATAGTCCTCTCGTAAGTCTTAGGTTTAGCTATAATACCAAAAATACGGTAAGTCTTGATGCCCCAAGATTGATCATCACTTCATCATCACATTCATTAGAAGTATCGGATGGACAAGCACTCAATGATGGTTTGGAAGTGTTGGGTCAATAGACACAAATGCAGATTTGGTGTCATGAATCCCCCTGCCCAAATGCTTGTCTGCATCTTTGAAGTCCATGTGTTGGACACCCTGCAGAGTTAGGAGATTTGGTTGTTGAGCTGTCCAGGATACTGTTCGAACCTCCTCTCTGCCTCTTCACTGAAAGCATCCCCTGGAGACAAGAGTTAGGAACAATCATTTGCTAAAATGTCCAAATAATTATTTCATTACTCTGTTGGGGCTCCATGCTACCATTTTCATTTAAACAGTTAATTCAAAAGATCTCAGGTGCATATATGACTTATAGTGCCACCTCCTGTCCCACTGCGCATTGGACACGCTATACAAAGTCGAAGAACATGCCATTAGAATAGATGACTCCCTTTTGCCCGTCACATCTTACCAATGTGGCAGTTGTGCAACCAGATCCGATGGCCGTCGTATTTGCAATTGCATTTCATGGCGTTGTTGGTGAAGTCACTCTCGGCCACTTCATAGTTTGGGTTTATAACAACCTGCGATTCGCAAAGAAAACACACAAAGCGTGAACTAAAAGCCAGGTCAAGAAGCAGGCAATCCTTAGCACTATAACATTGGAGAATATCCTAGTGTTTTCTTTCCACAGCCTGCACTAAACCTTATTCCGGGCTCTCACTGTGCTTGAGAGACACCTTTTACTGTACATATTGATTCTATTCTTCTGTCTTCCATAGTTACCTGTAAGATGTAGTTCCCTGGCTTGACATCAGTCATGTCAATCCACTGGCAGTCAATATCATGGCGATACAAATCCCAGCAGCCCACTGTGATGCCCTGCTCGCCAAAGTTTGCGCACTCATACCGTTTAGAAACCCCTTGGAAGCAAACGTGAAAAGCAAGAGGGAAAAGGGAATCAGCTGTTGGCGTTGGACACCGCTGAAATCCCAAATCCCAAAGCATATTCCGAAAAGACAAAATGATGCAACATCTGGCTTGCACACTTAGTTTGGAGAACAAATCAAACTCTTAATAAAAAACATTCCACTGAGTTAAATGAACAGGTTAATACAATATGTAAAGGACATCTATACCATGTACAGCTGGGGTGAATGATGAATGAATGAATTAACGATTTCAGTATTTTGATTGGATCCTGAAAAATGACGAGAGGTGGAGAGTATATTTTGCGTAGCTCAGCTAGCTCTGGAATGGCGAGGCTGCCCAGACCCCTCCTGTGCATTGCGATGAGTGAGCCAGGAGATTCTGCAGGGGAGTGGATGGGGAGGCAGGAGAGGTATGAGACAGGTGTGCTACGGGAAGCCTCAGGTGCCAGACAGAATGATTTCAGACGGTATGGAGGCACACAGCCGCTGTCTTTAGTGACAAGCAGAAGAGTGGGGCTGAAGAGGCAAGAGGGAGTCCACTCGAGGAACAGCTCGATGAAGGTAAGGTAGGCGTCTCAGCAACACCTGAGCAGAGATTCGCTACAAGAATGCTAGATATTGAGGTGAGCAGAAGGGTGTGGGGTTAGGATCTGCCCTTCCTCACAAAGTTGTATTAGAACTTTGTTGTAATTTCATAAAGTAAACGTATTGTGGCATTACGCAGGGGTGTGTCCAGTGTGGAGGTGGAGCCCTGGATTAAGGGCGACTTGTTGCCTTAGCAACCAGAGCTGCCCTGGCTGATTTTGGATGAGCCGCAGCTGTGGGGGCCCTTTAAGACACACTGAGCAACCCCCCCCGGGTGATGAGCAGACCCCGCAAGGGGAGAACAGTCCCGGAGGGGACAGCGGGGAGCGCGTAAGGCCTTCTTTTCCGTTTCTTTTTATTTTCTTTTTCCTTTCTTCTGTCCCGCTGTGACGATTCACCGGATCGGGTTGAGTTTTCTTTTGTTTTGGCCTCGCTCCTTTTCCCCCGGGCTGGACCCCGCTGAAGAGGGACAGTCCAGTCTGGACGCCACTGTGCAAAGCAGTGTGCGTTTTTTCTTCTTCCTTTTTTTTGGGTTGTCGCTGACCCCTCAGATGGGGCGTCGTCTTTGACCAGTGCTCGCTGTGGCTCCTCCCACTGCTGCACTGTTACAGTAAATGTTATCTTCAATCTACTTTCTCTATGATCTGATACACTGGACGATAACCCAGTCCTGGGCAGTGTCAATCATGAAATTCATGAAAATCATGAAGTTGCCACATGAAGTAGCCCACACAGCCGAAAAGTTGTCTCTCTTTTCTTCTCAGCATGGAATAAACCTTCAGCTGTTCCATGCTTATGGAAACATATGATAATTAAAGTGCCTTTATAATACATGTGATTCCTATTTTAGCTTTTGGGTTCAAATGAGTTCATTTTAACTGTTCCTACCTTCTTGACATTCTGTGTCTTCAAGGCAGAAGCTGGCCTTGTGTCCATCTGCCACCTTTGAGCCGTTCACTGACAGGAGGTCATAATGAGTGAAGATGTCCATGCTGTGATAATGCCTGAAGAGTCAAGCACAGAAACTTAAGGCTTTCAAATGGAAAATGCCGGGGCCCCTGTCCACATTACCATTCAACAGGCAGTACTGGAACACAAGACTACAAATGACAGGAGGCCATTTCCCCATCTCGCCTTATCGGTATTTAATAAATTAATTAATCCACAGATCTCACCTAGCTGTTTCTTGAAAGAAGCCAGGGTACTGGCTTCAACAACATAGCTGGGTGCCTTGAACTATACTCCTACTGACTTTTCAATGCCTTTCGGGATTTTGAATATTTGTATAATTTCCCCTCAGTCTCCCCTCTTCCAGACTCTAAACAAGGTTCAATTCCTTCAGTCTGTCTATGGAGCACATTTCCTTAAACATGCTAGAATGTGTCTAGTTGCTCTTCCCTTTCCAGAGCAACATTCCATAATCACGGTGGCTCACTTGCACAGTGAATTATAAGTGTACCCATTTTAACTACCTTTATCGAAGAAACCAAAGCAAAGTGCCTTGACTCCACTCACGTTTTGAACACATAGCCTCCCAGTTATGAGTCCAGAGCACTAACATCTACTTACTGCAACACTGAGCCGTTTCTATATAACAGAACTGCCCAACAGCCCCTCAGTCAACAAGTTTTTTTTCTTGGATCACACTTCTGACTCCCCAAAACGACTCAATCCCATGGATTATAAAAACATAAGAAATCTTTGTGGCTCATCTAGCTCAATTGATAAATTAGTGACCGGGTGAATCTAAAATTTTGTCCATCTGTTTCTTAACAGAGCCAAAGGTCTGGGAATCCTCCACCTAACCAGGAAAACTGGGATATGGATGATGGATTATAAAACTGGTTGTGGATAGAATCCATGGAGCAAATACAGGGCACACTATGACTTGGAGCAACAAACCTGAAATGTCCCGTAAAAGGCTTTCAACATAATTCAGCAGCAGCAATGATAATTATTACTAAAAATACTGAGATACTCCTGCATGATCATAAAATAAACTTTGTGGCCTAGTCCTCTACCTAGTAGCGGAATGACCCAACCACAAATATTTTTAAGCAGTTACGATAATTCAAAGAATGTAAAGTTTCTTATCTTTGAGCAATATAATAACAGTATAGTGATTTTATTAGTTAAGAAGTTTAAAAATTAATTTGACTGGACTGCACAAGGCAATATCCTTTGTAGAAAGAATTTAGAAATTTGTGAGAAGAAAATCAATTTCTTTCACAGTTCACATGTTCTTTTGAATTTTTTTAAGTACCATTTATAAAACATTATAGCGTCATTTTAAATGTGGAACACGTTTTTGCATGATTCAAAATTATGAAATCCAATATTACAGAAAACAGAACAAAATATACACTAAATATTACTTGTTAGATGAGGGACAGGATGAGTTAAATCTTCTTCGCCAAAAACTCACAGACATTCAAACGTGACAAAAAACATGACTGGACAGCTGCCAGTATTTGAACAAAATTAGCTCATGGCCATGCCTCACAAGATATTAAGTTCACCAGCGCACCTGCACCTGCAACACAGAAACGATTCTCTGCCACAGAGCAGACAACAGCAGAGTGAAAACACTGGACAGTAAGTCAACCGCGCGAGACAGGGGCGTGTGCCACACTAGGATCATGCTGAGGTGCTGGAGCCTCTAACCCAGTTCTTGGGGGGCCTGTAGTGCCTTCGGGTTTGTGTTCCCACCACCCTCTCAGTTGCAAGAAGAAGAAGGAAAAGGAGGAGAAGGGGAAGGGGAAGAGGTTGAAGGAGGAGGAGAAGAACGATATTTATATACTGTACTGTACAATATAAACATACAATAATTAGCTGAGTTGGTCTGATTATTTAATCAGATGCAAAATTGTACAACTTCTAACCTGCAGCTTTAGTCAAGTGAAGCTGTTGTGCAACCAGCTGTAAAAGACCTGGAAGCATCCTATCCTGTTGTCGAATTTAGAAAACAATGAGGCAGTGAGATTAATGCAGCTGCTCAGGTTGGAACAAGGCCCCCCAGGAAGGGAGTGGGAGACCCCTGCTGCAGGGGTCCATGCTGATGAGTTACACCGAGCCTCTCGAACATGCTGCGGGACACACAGGTTAGCAGACACCCACAAGCCATGATGGGCCCCCCATTTACCTATGGCACTCATGCCACACCCAGGAATGGCGGCCCGCCTTGGGGCGGAAGTCGGCGCGCCCGATGTTGTGGATCTGCGAGGAGAAGCGCAGCAGGCGGCGGTGCCCGTACGGCCAGTTGGCCTTGGCAGCCGACTTGGCCAGGCAGTCCTCCTCGGCGGCACAGTAGAGCATGTGGAGGGGCCGGTCCTCGATGTAGACGGTCTGCTGCACCAGGGGGGCGTTCAGGATGAGGTCCGAGGCAGCTGGGATGGCAAAGGCAGGGATAGCAAGCAGAACCGCTCAGGGCCAGGTATGAGCGATAGAGAGTAAGGCAGAAGACAAACGCATGACAAGTGTGTGTGGATTCCCACCCATCCATTCATCCCTCTTCTAACCTCTTTATCCAGTACAGGGTTGCGGGGGAGCCAGAGCCTATCCTGGCAAGCAACAGGCACAAGGCAAGATGCAAGATTCATCCTAATGAGAGCGAATTCTCCCAGAAGCCAGTCAATCTTCCAGTATGTCTTTGGAAGCCAGCAGCCATATCATCCTGCAGCTCACAACTGGCAGCCCACTGCAGCTCAGCAGGTGTGAGCCTGGTCAGTAACTAGATGGGAGACCTCCTGGGGAAAGCTAAGGTTGCTGCTTGAAGAGGTGTTAGTGTTAGTGCGGCCAGTAGGGGGCGCTCACCCTGTGGTCTGTGTGGGTTCAAATACCCCAGTATAGCGATGGGACACTAAACTGTCGCAATGCTCCGTAGAAAGTGAAGGGCATGACAAGGGCATGACAAGGCGTCATGGCCATCCACTGCAACCAAGTGAGTCTCCAGTCGTGACGACTACTCGTAGCGCTGGACCCAGGCTTCTGAGGTCGAGAGAGTGGGACTGCCCCAGTGTAACGGCTTTCCCACTTCAAAAAGCTCACCCACACAGGTTTCTTCGTGCAGCTCATCTTCCAAACCAATGAGCTGCACAAAGTACAATTGTCATCGTCGGACACGATGGACAACCATCATGTCTTTGGACTGCAGGAAGAAACTGGAGCAGCCAGGGCAAATCCACATGAACACAGGGAGAACATGCAAACTACACACCGATAACATGCCAGGAATTCAACCCAATAATGCTAACCCCTGCGCCAAATCCTACATATGAAGTATTTAATATGATAAGCCTCCTATAACACACTCACTCAGACAAAGATGCTGGCAGAGCAAATATATCATTTTTATTTCCTATTTTACCAGGTAAGTCATTTGAGAACAAAGTCTCATTGACAAATAATGACCTGGAGGCTTGTTTATACAGCAGCATTTTACTAGAGCAATCTGACTGAAGCACATTACGCCGTGGGTACAACATAAGTGAGGGAAGAACAAACAGTTAAATAAATCTTCTCAGAAGTCCTGTGAAGGCACAGTGTCTCCTTTTGATTTGGGAGATGACCAGCAGCCACCTGGCTGATGCTCGGCAGCCATGGCTTGCCAAGACACAGCAGACGAGGTGGAGAGGTGAGAAACGAAACTAAGGGGGAACGTTAGAAGAGGGCAGTTTGTGCAGTCCCAGGGTGGGTGTCATGGGATCTTTGATGACCAAGTAATCAGGGTGCTAGCTCAACACCTCATCCAAAGGGCGACACCTCCTACAGCACCTCCAGCGTCACCAGATGGGCACTGGTTTGGAAACTCTGTTGACGGCGGCAACCTGCTTTTGTTTTTGTTTTCCCCCTGGAAGGTCCCCCATCCTAAGACTGAGCAGGCCCAACCTTTCTCAGCTCCCGAGAGCCGACGAGATCAGGCTGCAGCGCGGTAAGGCAGTAAGGAACCACAACAAACACCCTCCGTCACAATCCACCCGAGACAGATACTTAACTCGATGTGAGGAAAGAAACAATGATCATTATTGCCATTCCCACCCGTCCACGATAACCTCAGATCATGCCGACTTTGTTGAAAAACCAGAGGAAGCCCAGGAAGCGACGTGCCGTCACCCATCTCCAACGGCCCCAGCGGGACGGCCTTCCCTCCCCTCCCACTCACTCTCGGAGCAGATGACGCCGGCGGCGAAGCGCGGGCTGGCCTTCTGGCACTGGAAGGCGGCGTGGGCCTGGCAGTGGCTGAGCGCCATCTCGTCGCCCGTGCACCTCACCCCGCTCGTCACCATCTCCGTCACGTTGCTGCTGTCCCAGTACCACGTCTCCTTGGCGACGGGGACACACAGAGAGGGCAGGCGGGCGGTTAGGCGTGGTGGCAGCAGCCGCCCGGGGGGCCCGGAATAGAAATTACTTTTCATTTGGCCGTGGCAGTGAGGGAGAAATACTGTCTCGTGCTAAAAATATTATCATACGAATGTTTACATCATATCATTCATAATATGTCATTAAATATCAAATTATATCAAACAAACTGCTCAGTCAATCCCACAGGCCCATCCCACTTGTCTACCATATTTATTTATTTACACCTGACGTGTACTTTAACTTTGTTTTACTGGTTAAACATCAAGTCTTCCGAGGCAGGTTTACGTTAGTGCCTTTGCATCCTCTAGTGCACAAGGCTTGAAATGATTTTCCACGCCATGCCGAGACCTTTTAGCTGGGGTCTCAGGACAATGTGATCTCATATCACCTCAGAAACAAGTGTCCTTAACATCAAAACTCTAGGCAATAATTTCTTTTCTAAGAATGTTTTGACTAATTATTTGTGGGTTTATTTAATATGGGTTTCTGAAAGTTAAAAAAAGTGTTAAGCATTTCTGCATGAAAAACAGGAAAACAAAAAAAAACAAAACAGTAACACACCCTAACATCCGATACTCAACTCTTCCACAACATTGGGTTTCACCACAGCGTTTGCAATTTTAGGACAGAATTGAAGTAGTTTACTAAATGTTACTAATGTTTACTCAAAGGAGACAAAAAAAAAAAGTTGCAGCACAATACTCCATAAGGCAGAATTCTTGGGAGACTTAAAGTGATTTAAATCAAATTTGTGCATAAATACGAAAAAAGGAAATAGAGATATATTTCCAATCAGTTTTCAACACTATTGGCTAAGGCTTTATCGTGAAATTAACAAGTGTTAGGACTCCGAGGTCAACAGTGATGTTTGTTAATTCGCCTTCCAAAAGGCTATATTTTGTACAAAAGTTGTACCAGGAAGTGCACTTCATTAAAAAAAAGCTCTAGAAGAAAAAAAGGGCAAACGTCACTCTGGCATCTGTCAGACGAATCTTTCTCTCCTTTTGTAAAGACAGAAAAGCTCTGGTTCAGCGTCTGTAGGCCCATCATGTAACTGACCTGTGCACCACGAAGAACCTAAAACTGGTCTTTATGCGTGGGCTGCCATATATTCAAATTATGTAAACGCAATGTGAGAAAATGTGACATATTGGAAAAAAGTGTGGGCTCATTACAAAACTAGAGCATTTACGATGTTTGCGTCTAATGCATCTACTGTATTTTGTCTGCAGTCATGTGTGTAATGTGTTATTAGTTTACCAAATACATGTATTATTTAAAGAAGGCCATTATCCTACACAATCCTACAGAAATACTGGTATATGCTGATTTTCTGCAGCTCAGATTTTACAGTCGGTGGCAGTATAATGCAGAAGCTTCTATGGGAGAAGAGGATATTTTTTTCAAGGACACAGGTGGGCAAACAATACATTTCTGCACAACTGAGTAGTGTGATTTTCGCCTCATCGCATCAGAAAATAAACAAATGTATCAATTTAAACTTCAGAACCTAAATCAGAGGAACAAACTTCCAAAATTAAAAAGTGACGACGCAACATACTAATTAAGCATTCTCTGTTGTGAAAATGTTTTTTATTACATATAATACAGATTGTCCCCTCTTTACGGCTCTCTGCTTTTATGCCATTGATTTTTTGCGACCCCGGAAGTAAAAATTCTCCAATGTAAAGAAAGTAAATTCCACTTTAAAAAGGTGTCCGGAGCCCAAAAAATAAAAGTTTTTAATAAAATTGTTGCAGAATTTCTTTGTATTATAGAAAACTCATACTCAAGTTCAGCAGGTGTGAGCCTGGTCAGTACAGGATAAGAGACCTCCTGGGAAAAACTAAGGTTGCTGCTGGAAGAGGTGTTACTGAGGCCAGCAGGGGGTGCTCACCCTGCGGTCCATGTGGGTGCTAATGCCCCGGTATAGTGACGGGGACACTATACTGGAAACAGGCGCCGTCCTTCGGATGAGATGTAAAACTGAGGTCCTGACTCTCTGTGGTCATTAAAAATCCCAGGGCGTTTCTCGAAAAGAGTAGGGATGTAACCCCGGTGTCCTGGCCAAATTTCCCATCGGCCCTTACCAATCATGGCCTCCTAATAATCCCCATCTCTGAACCGGCTTCATTACTCTGCTCTCCTCCCCACTGAGAGCTGGTGTGTGGTGAGCGTTCTGATGCACTATGGCTGCCGTCGCATCATCCAGGTGGGGCTGCACATTGGTGGTGGTGGAGGGGAGTCCCCATTACCTGTAAAGTGCTTTGAGTGGAGTGGCCAGAAAAGCGCTATCTAAGTGTAAGCTATTATTATTATTATTATTATTATATATTGTAATGCATACGGCCGACATGACAGGTTGTGCGAGCCGGCTTGCCAGCATGGTGACGTCACCACCCTTCCCTGTGGATAGCAGAGACCTCAGCCGCCGGGCTGACGGGAGATCTCCCTTTAGCTCAGCTGGCTGGGTCCCTGTTGAGTGACGCCTGAGGCCCGGGTTCGAGTCCCCAGTGGTGGGGGGCTGACCTGAGGTGGCAGCGGGGAGGGTGCATACCCAGGTGAACCCCAGAGCGCTAGGATATATTACTGTATTATTTTATAGTTTTATGTGTTTAGGATGAGCCCTAACAAAGAGGTTGGGAGAATCTTCGAGAAGGGACATTATATTAGATATAATTATATTAGATGCATTATATTAGACATCTTATTTATCATATGTAAAGCATTTAATGTAATTTTATTCTGTAATAAAATGTACATAAAAGCAGATGTTAAAAGTATTGTAGCGTTAACCTGAGTACCTGACCCCCCTAGCTGAGTACCTGACCAGACTCGCTTTCCCGTTTCCTCTCTGTTGTAAGTGGGGGACCCCTACTCCTCTGGTAGGCGCCAAGCCCCTAGCTGAGGCTAGCCTCCCCAAGACAGTGAGCTGCAGCTCCGGTCTCCCGGGTTCAGGGAGGACCGCTACAGTAGTTTGCTGTGCGTTGCTTTCTTCGGGGTGTTTTGATTAAATAACATTTTAGTGCTCAACTTAGTGGCTCACTAACAGCCATCGTTCTGTTTATACAGAGAAAATGACATGAATGTACACTACTGTAGACTTAACGTCATGTCCTGGTCTCTATTACTGTTGAAATATTTTGATTCTTGAAGGGGAAATATGTTGAACTTTCTCCTAAGGTAATAATTACTTCCTCCTAGTCTCATTAACTCCTATCTCCATCAGTTCATAAGGGAAATATTTCCACATGTATATGGTTTATGTCCACATTAAGCACATCAAACAGGAACCCTCTGTATTACATTGTAATATAGCGTATAATCAGCCCAGATTCGTAGCCACATACTCTCAAATAAAGGAAGTTGCAACATCTTAGAATGAATGTTTTTTTCGGTTATTCTCTTACAGTAAGATCACGATTTGAAAATCATGTGGTTGCATCCTAGTTAACAGACACACACGATCAGGCACTGCTCCCATCTTGCACTAGGTAAACCTTTTTTATTTTTTATTTCATAGTTCATCTTTGATTGCCTCTCATGCTGCTAAAATTCTTTTTTTCCCCAACCACAACTGATACTACAGAGCAGTTAAATTGAGATGCTTCTTCTGCTTCAGCACCCAGGAGGGAGCTGCACTTCAATGGTTTGGGGATGGAAAGCGTTATATACAGAATATGTAAGGATTATTATTATTATTTAGGAGTGTCGCTTAATTTGCAAATGATAGGCGCACCAGTGGATGGATTGCACAGCCCACCGCCCTCTTCAGTACACACTAACCACGCCGCGTCTTACTTACTGTGACGGCATGCAGGGAGTACCCCAGCCCTAGCTGGCGGCACGCTACCATTGCCTCTCTGGTTGTCCAGCCATCACTGCAAATAGTTCCCCACTTCGACCCCCTCTTAACCTCCACTCGGCCCTCGTAGGCAGACCGTCCGCCAACCAGCCGGATCTGTGGAAGAGCCCTGAGGGGTGTCAGCACGCAAAGGCGCCGGCCTCCTCCAGCCTGGATCGCAAACTCCTCCGCTGCCATTACACCGCAGCGACCAAAGCGACGCTCCTGTTGGCGCAATTCTTTTATTTACCATTTCCCGAGCGCCAGTTTGCCTGACGCCCGACAGTAGGAGAGTGGTAACTAAAAGAATTTGTAGCCTTGAGGTTTCTTTTCTTTTTCGAGAAAAGGCATCCCTTCGGTAAGCCCCCTTCTTCAGAAGGGATGTTCTGCAGGGGACTGACGCAGCCCCCCCCGCTTCTGCCGTGTCATGCGAGCAGCTCGGCAGGACGAGACGGGGTGCGGGAAGCCAGGCGTCTCCAGCCAGTACCTACTTGCAAGCCGTGGTTAGCGAATCCCAGCCCCAGCTGGCGGCAGGCCACCATGGCCTCTCGGGTACCCCAGCCTTCTCCGCAAACGAGCCCCCAGCTCTCCGTGCCATTGCCGTCCACCGTCACCACCTCCACTCTGCCCTCGTAGCGCGTCCGCCCGCCAGACAGCCGGATCTGCGCGCCGCCGGGACAACGGGTTAGCGCTCGGAGAGCGGCTCCAGATCGAAACACGCGCGGCTGCGGCGGACACTCGGCGCTGCCCGCTGCCTCCCTCAAGGGTTCAACACGCCTGATCCCAAAGCAAGACACAGCACATCTGGGTGTCTCGTGATTTCTTTATCTTTTATATGGAAAAATAGACTAGATCTTTTAGTCTACCCAAAGATCTTTGGTTAACAAAGATCTTTTGTGGGGCTACTGTTTCCACAATGATCAATGCACCATTTTCTTCTTTAAAGGGTGTATTACGCACCAGTCTGGGAAACTGGTCGTCTGAAGAAAATAATGGAACCCAGGGGTCTGTGTCAGAGATATCCGAGTGTCCGCCAAGCGTGTTTACAATCCAATGTAAGCTCTACAGAAATATTTGTTACATGTGCTTTTTTTTTTTTTAACTTTTGACAAGATGTTACTTGAAAGCTCAACCTTTTTCGGGACATCATGTGCTTCATGATTCTCTCCATTTTGGAAGAAGCCACTTTTAATACCCACACCGATCAAAACTGCACATGTAACAGTTGGTTTCTGCTCTACAAGCATTTCAGATTTTGCTCAGAAAACACAGGCCTGTGTTAACCAATACTTTAAATATTGGTGTTATACAATTCTACGTGTTTAAATGATCCATGCATTGTAAATAGTTAACATGAATTATATTTAAATATTTAGGTTTAACAGCGTCCAGTCTGCTTCAGCGATGCCTGAACAACATATATTGTGGCCAATGGAGAATGTAATGACTTCCAGCTTTATTGCAAAATGGAAATGAACCTTTGACTCAATATCTGAGGCACTGGCATTGCTTAAAGCAGGACTAGAGGGCCACAGATAATTGACCAAAATGATTCATTGTGCTGCAAGAAGTAAATCGTTACTGCATTAAAAATCTAGAAGCAACCTTTTTAAAAAAAAATGTGTTAGTGCATCAGGCCTTACAGTTCTGGTATAATTATCAGAAGAGCACATGATCTGCATTTATGCAAAGCAGGATTCAGGTTCTGAAAATGAAACATTTCTTCGGAAAGAACAAACAAGTCTCACATAGTTAATGGTGAACTGTGTTCATTAAATGAATAGACAGAATTATTGTTTAATAACCTAGAGGAATAGTGAACTGTACCAATTTTGTTGTGCAACCAGTTTGAGTTTGATGTTTTGTTAATTATACAATACCGCAGTGACCCTAACTCTTTTACTGCATATACTGCATGTATATATTCTTATAGTAACAAAAAAGGATAATCAAAATTTTTTTAAACATTCATAGTATTTCATATACCAATTTAATTTCCTAATGATGTTTGCCTGTTATGCTTTGCTGGCAAAAAACATTGTTTTCATCCAAAACTATTCTTCTGATCAAATTCGCTATTTAAGAGTTTATCACATACAGTATTTCCCCTCATTTTAAGCAACAGGGCTCACAGATGCACAGTGAACTGCTGAAGTGAATTTATTGCTCTATAAGAGGCACATACTGATCACTTGACTCACAGTCAAACTAACGACATAAATATAATGAAATCAAGATGTTTTGCAAATTTCATCTCCAACCGTCAACGAAACAAGTCTATGATTTTTTTTACAATGCCCAAAAGTATCTCTAAAACAATCATTAAATTGTTGTATAAAATACCTAAGAAAAGATTTTTTTAACATTCTCCTTCCTGAGTACTTTACTAGAGCAGCAGTGTGACTGGGTAGATAGAATCCTTCAAATAAATAAAAGAGTGACGGTAAAAATATACATTTTAGCATTTGCTTTTCTAATCATCTTGGTTAGGAGTATAGTTTTCTATTCAGTTATCAGCTTGTGATCATTGTGGTTAAAGGGAAACTGCAGCTCTATTTTCACATGTCGGGGATAGAAGAATCAGCATTGATGAGTGCATTTCAAACCACAATAACGGTAAAATGGACACAGTAACTTTTAAAACCTCCAATTTCCATCACAAGATACATTTTCCAGGCATGTGCAGCACCATGTTCTGCGATTCAGAACAAGGCAACAAAACTTCTGGTGACGTGTGCAGCCCTGTGACATTGTAAACAAGCAGGTCTGTGAATGCGTCTCTTTAATCCAATAGAAACATTGCTTTTGATTTTGACAACTACTTACTTGTTAACTCTGCATGCAGATCACATTGGAACATTTCTGCAGTGAAATGTCTGCACAACCTGTACTTAATTTGTTCGTATACGCATTACATTAGTCATTACAGTGACTAGTGAGCTAGTGAGCAGGAAGGGCTGCAGCACGTCACAATTTGCACAAGTCTCGCTATCACCTGTGGCAAGACCAGCAGTTTGCTACAACATGGTAACTTACAGTAGTCACAAAGTTCATGATTTTGTGCCTAATTATAAAAATTGGTCATTTTTTTCTATAACATCAATGCATTCATTTTGTTACTGCAGTTCCCCTTTAGGCACACTTAGAAGTAAAACTCCACTTATGTCAGATGTTGGTTTTTTTTAAATGGCTCTATTCTTCTGTGTCACTGTGCATCCTGCTTAAAAAAAACACAACAGAGCTGAACAAGCAAGTCTGTAATTCCTTTTAGAATTCCGACTGTACCATTTCACTCTGTGTTGTGTAAATCTGTGGGGATGCGATTCAGTATTTTGGATTCTACATGCAGTTAAATTACCAGGTGCTAATGTATTCCTTCCCTGCAGAACTGAGACTAAAACGTTTGAAATGCATGAAAGAGCAGGATCTGACCGTGGTTTCATAGGCCATGTAGGGGACGTTGCACTTGACAGAGGCATCCTCCTGGTGCTGGCAGTCCTCAGCTGTGATGTTCTTGAACTGGCAGTCCCAGATCGACTTCTCGTGACCACTGCACTGAACCTCATTCATGTGGATGGGACCCATCCCTTCCCAGAACACAAAGAAAAACAGGACAGCTTTCAAACAGGGGGCCTGACAGCTCTTAGTTTGTCATCAACAGAGGTTCACCTACACTGCGCTTGTACCAGGCATGGTTCTCTGTCCCTGGAGCCCTAGTCCTTGCTGACAGCAATTCCACCTCTTACATTGCCACTAAAGAGGTGCTGGAGGTGCACCCAGACAGACACCAGCTTGGTGGCAGAGATTGATTCTCATCTCAGTGTTATTTGCAAACTTAAAATGTGTCTCAATACTGATTTGCTTTCTCTTCCAGATTTATGGACCAATGCCTGGCTTGGTTTTAGGCAGTACAGCTCAGCCTCCTTAGAAGCTGCACTAACCAGGGTGCAGCCTCAGGCCCTTCAGGTTTCTCCCAAGCCGTGCCTAACGATCCTATTACATTTATGAGATTAAGCCTGTATACCAGGCTCAGGGCAGCAGTCTGGAGCAGTAGGTAGGGTTCTGGGCTTGTAACTTGAAACCCGTGAGTTCAGACACCAGGTTAGACACTGTTGCTGTACCCCTGAGCAAGATACCGCATCTCACAGTGGCTCCAGTGAAATACCCAGCTGTATTAATGTGTGCAAATCTAAAACTGCCGATACCTACTTGTACTGTATAAATTGGTAATTAGGTTCACCATGCATCTGAAAGCTCATATAAAGTAACAGCAAAGTTTTAGAGTAACAGACTAAAGTACACACTGTAAAATAAAGGTTATCATAGTTATTGGAGACTTATGTAATTAATAAAATACCCTCTTAAAAGGATTTTAGAATCCTTTTGGCATGTTCTGAAGATCATCAGACGTTTAGAATCTGCACCCTGATGAAATCAACAAAAACCATTACATTTGTATATATTAATTTGCAATTTAGCCAGTCCAAGATCTCTGATCTGATGATCCCATGAAACTGAGAACTAAAATGCTTTATTGCATCTTGTGAATAATTATGGAATTAAGTACTTTTCATGCCCTTTATTTTATTATCCAATACAGCCCATATAATGATAAGCTGAATGAAAAGTAGAATAAGGAATATTCACTTGGAGTCAAAAAGTATTTTGAGTATTTTTTAGTATACATGCATGGACAAACATCTTCACAAATTGCTTCTTTTCTGCATTTTGGGATATTGAAAAAGGTTCTGGAAGTCTTCGGCTGACTGATATTTGCTTACATAGAACAAATTCATCTTCTATGGATTTTCCAGTTGCTGGCACCATTCCTGAAACAATCCCTTTCTGTCTGCACTAGCCGACCTCAGAACAGGACCCTTGTTCATTGCAAGGACCGGATCTCACCCTAGAGGAACTGGAATACCTGTGGCTTCACCAAAGAAGAACATTTTTGCAAGAAACGTGCCAACGCTAAGGGGAAAATCCTATGTGCCACTAACATGGAGGACATTTTCATTAACATTCTGTTTGAAGCTATTAGAATAAAACTATAAGCATCTGACAAACAGGACCACTGGGATACAGCAGCAGAGAAACAGGGCAGGCTTTCATTTGAAACAAGTCACTTTTTCATTGAGTTGTACATAATACTGATTAGCTGCAATCCAGGCCATTGTAGTTCAATATGCTTTTTTCTGTCTTAAATTACTATTGTTACATTCTCTTTTCACTGTAGAATTACAAAATATTAGTATTTAGCTTTTAAGGTAGGACTTCAAAAGCGATGGTTGTCCTATAAGAGGCAATAATAATGATGAGTCAAACTGATATGCAGCTATTCTCAACACTGAGAAGTTTTTTAGTTCTCTCCACGTTTAAATTTCCTTCTTTAATGTTCTAATCCAAACGTCACAATATCAAGTCACTTGGCTGATGTCATGTACCATAAAAAACACCTGGATAGGCTAATAGCCTTACAGAGCCTTATTGTCATTTTATCAATGTATTTTCTCGCTGCATGTCACATGCAACTTATCCAACGTTTCCTTTGTACTTACCAAATATAAACTTTGCATAAATTCTTAAATTATCTGAAGATGTTTAACATCCGCTAAGTTTGCAAATGTACATACACCTGTCTATTTCTCAGCTTGTGAGGTCAATATTCAGGTGTCCCTGTCAGCAATACTGACACTCCATGACCCTGTAGACTTGCCATAAAGTATGCCTGAAGTTTGCAGAGAATTAGCTTCCGTCTCAGTTTCCTTCAGGTACGTGGTGCCCTCCAAGGCAAAGTCTGCCGATTTTGCATGAACACTTTGTAGTGGAAATGCAACATCTGGGAATTAATTTCTTTTCCTGTCACAGACATCCTTGGTGAGACCAACTGTGTGTGCCCGTGAGTTCATCCAGGAGCTGGCCAGAAAAATGTGTCTTTTTAGCCTGCCAGCTGTACTCTCTGCCTCCTAATAGGAGCAGACGTCTTCCTGAGAGCCTAACGATCAGAAGGATTCAACAAATCGGTTCACCCATTTATCTGTAGCTGGATACATGATGTAATTAGAGGATGTTGAGTTTTATAAAACTGTGCTAGGATGTTAATGAATATACTGTACTGTATGTTAACATTTTCTCCCTTCCTTTGTCGGGTCACCCAAGGAAAGTTCTGGGCATTTTAAAATGTCATTTTTGTACATTTTTGTAAACTTTTCATCATTATGTTGCACTTTACATTTCAAGTGATGGCTACTGTTTTTCTGGCAAAAAAAACCCATCGGAGATGATAAAATGGCTCTGCTCAGATTTTAAAATGTTGATACTATAAAGAAGGGAAATTTTGAGGGGGATAAGAATCTCACTTTCAACAAAAACATTTTATGTAGGTTTGCGATTTATTAATTATTCGACCCTGTCTTTTCTCTCTCCACATTATCAGTTTGATCTTGTGATGTTGGAGGGCTGCTCACCCTGTCGTGCAAATCTGCATGTTTATTTTCGGCACCCTGGTTTGCACATTAATATACTGAACAAAACTGTTTCCTTTGTATCTCTGTCAAGCGGATGGGGGAGATTTTATATAAGAGTAACTGCAGGAAAATGTGGTTGAGGAGCGAATCCAAAATACTGTTGGCTGAAAGTTCCAGTAACCAGTAAACCACTGAAGAAAGCATCATGAAATAGGAAAAAAATAGTTGAAAATAGGTGCTACTGTACCTTTTTCAGAAACATGATGGGAATTTAAAGGGTAGCATATTTGCGAACAAATGTTTGCACAGCTCTCATGGAAACGGAGAACACGTCTTCAGAAATAAAAGTGCATGAGAGCAGAAAAGTATATACGTATATATAAAACTTATAAAAGTTAAAAAAAGGCATTACAGTGTTTTAAATTAATATTTTTATTTAATTTCAAATTTACTATTCTCTATTTAATGGTTCTTTTGTTGTACTGACAGACTTTTTTTCCTATTTATTTAAGGCTGCATTGCAATACAATTTTCCTCTCCTCAACCTTTCTATCCCTTTTTTCCATGTTTGCAATTCTTTGTGCTTATTTTCTTCATCTGGATTCTTTTGAATCATTAAACAAAGCAGTTTATTTCCCCTCATATTTTCCTAATTGATTTCCGGGGCGGAGCGGTGCCTCTGTGGCTCAGGACCTGTGCCTGTGGCTGGAAGGTTGCCAGTTCGTATCCTGCGGCCGGCAGAGGAATCCTACTCCGTTGGGCCCCTGAGCGAGGCCCTTAATCCCAGCTGCTCCAGGGGCGCTGTACAATGGCAGACCCTGCCCTCTGACCCCCAGCTTCTCTCCCTGTCTGTGTGGCTCATGGAGAGCAAGTTGGGGAATGTGAAAAGACAAATTCCTAAATCAAGAAATTGTATAGGGCCAATAAAGTGATCAGATCTGATCTGATTTGGAAAGCCATTGTTTAGCTTTCGACTTGCTCACTCCATGTCGCGCCCATCCTCATGGGGGCGCTGTGGAGGAGGCTTGTTCTACTGTGGCAGCTGGTCATGCCCCTTCCACCTGTCAGTCAAGCTGGCTGCAGTGGAAACCCAATTAGACAGGAAGTTGGCTTCACCTGTGAGCAATCACGTCATCCCCTCCCTCCTGGTGAAGCAAACTACAAAAGTCCTTATATACCATTACTCCCCACAGTGATGGTCTTGCGGCCCTCAAGCACACACTGAGCAAACACACAGTGCCTGATCCACCAGCCCATACTCTTGTATGTTTCGCAGAATCGGTCCTCACAAAGAACGCTTTTTCTGTCCATCACCACTTTCGCCAGCAGGTCAGTGGAACTGCCACGGGTTCCAGGATGGGACCCTGCTATGCAAATCATTTTGACAGGAGGGCAGAAGAAAGCTTTTTTGCTTCCTATACTGGATGTGTCCCTGAACTCTACAAGTGACAAATTCATGACTACAGCGGTACCGCCACATTTTCTAACAACCAGCCACAGCATTTCCTTTATCATTTTACCAACTTCTACCCATCCGTAATTGTACAATTCACATATCTTTCACCGCTCTTCCATTTCTGCACATGAACCTCTCCATTAACCATCCATGACTCTATACTCCCGTCTATTACAAACACTGATTCACACAGCTGTCTCCTGCACAGCTCCTTCCACCCCACACATACTAAAAACTCACTCTCTTTTTCAAAGTCTCTCAGTCTCTGACTGCTATGTAGTGATGACACGGACTTCCATAACCAAGACCTACAATTGAACATCATTTCCTCGGATCATCCATCCAATCCATTAAAACACCCTTTTAATTCCCACTACTATTAATGACTATTAACTTCCCCATCTTACAGGATGACCCTTCCACTAGTATCTTCTTTTCTGACCAACACATCATCTGATATCACTGACCACCTAACCTACGCAATCTTTTTGTTCACAGCTCTCTTAACGGCCGACAGCAATCATCCACACTAGACACTTTTCCCTGCACCGCACGGCCTGCAAATATACATCCAATACCACACACATTTAATGTGTGGATCAACCAGATGACATCATGTATTTCTAGCAACCTCATTTATCCTCTCATGCAGAAAATGCCCAGCCATTTACATCGGTGAGGCAGGAAGAAGACTTGCAGACTGTTTCAGGGAACATTTCAGAGCTGCGAGAATCAAAGATGTCTCCAAACCACTAGTTCCCCACTCCATCACTAACAGACATGATATTTCTCATCTCTCTGCCGGCATCCTCACAGATGGTTTTCAGAACTCCTCTTGCAGAAAGACATCCAAAACCAAAATTATCCTGAAACTTGGATCACACCTCCAAAACCAAAATTATCCTGAAACTTGGATCACACCTTCCCCTTCCCTAATCGACAGACTCATCTCCTTCGAAATCCTCCCTATTAATTTGCAGATTTCAGCTTTCCTGTGCTTGGACACTCATCCTCACCTGCTTCATGCCCATTTCATTCCTGCTCCCCACCCCTTCTTGCCCACTCTGTCTTGTGTTCTTCTGTGCTTTACCTGCTACTTCCCCTCTTCTCCTCACACCTGAAGAAGGCTCCACAGCCGAAACACTGTGTTGCTTTTCTTTACCAGTGTGCATGAAATGAACCATTCCCTGATCCGTTTGTGACGGCCGAGCAGTGCTCTGGGCTCCGTTACTGAGTTTAGCACTAAGCCACTGCTGTGTTCCCCAGCTTAGTTTACATTTTGTTCTGGCCTTGACCCTGCTTTGCCTTGACTCTGGCTTCAGATCAGCCTCGCACCCTTGTTACGTCACTACACACAGAGACACATCAGGGCCAATTTTCCCAGAAGCCAATTAACCTGCCAGCAGTCTTTGGATCGTGGGAGGAAACAGGGATAATAATAATAATAATAATAATAATAATAATAATTGCTTACACTTACATAGCGCTTTTTCTGGACACTCCACTCAAAGCGCTTTTACAGGTAATGGGTATCCCCTCCACCACCACCAATGTGCAGCCCCACCTGGATGATGCGACGGCAGCCATAGTGCGCCAGAACGCTCACCACACATCAGCTATCAGTGGGGAGGAGAGCAGAGTAATGAAGCCAATTCACAGAGGGGGATTGTTAGGATGATTGATAACAGCCGATGGGGAAATTTGGCCAGGATGCCGGGGTTACACCCCTACTCTTTTCGAGAAACACCCTGGGATTTTTAATGACCACAGAGAGTCAGGACCTCGGTTTTACGTCTCATCCGAAGGACGGCGCCTGTTTTTTACAGTATAGTGTCCCCGTCACTACACTGGGGCATTAGGACCCACATGAGCCGCAGGGTGAGCGCCCCCTGCTGGCCCCACTAATGCCTCTTCCAGCAGCAACCTTAGTTTTTCACAGGAGGTCTCTCATCCAGGTACTGACCAGGCTCACACCTGCTTAGCTTCAGTTGCAGGGTGATATGGCTGCTGGCTATATCCTAGAGGATCCTAGAGGAAACCCACACAAACGCGGGGAGAACATACAAACTCCAAGGAGATACTCCATTAGGACCCCAGGTCCGGAATTGAACTCAGGGCCTGAGTACCGAGAGGCAGCAATGCTAACCACAGCGCCACTCTGCCTCTCTATCATGTGCACAGTTATATCTCTCTGAAGACCCGTGAGGTCCTAGCTTCCGTAGCGGAGCTGGTTGCAGCGCGGTGACGTCACCGCCCTCCCTGCGCATCACAGGGAGCCCAGCCGCCTGGGCTGAGGGAGGTCTCCTTTAGCTCAGCCGGCTGGTTCTCTGTTGCGTGACGCCCAGGTGTGGGGGGACGAACCGGCAGAACCGCGACGGTCACACTTCGTCGTGCTCCCTCACCTTGGCCCATCCTAGCCCCTGTGAGAGCCTCTTTGGCGCTGCCGAAGCCCAGCTCCCTGCAGACTACGCTAGCGGCTTGCAGGCTCCAGCGGTCATCACACACCGTGCCCCACTCGTTGTTCTTCAGGACCTCCACGCGCCCCTCGCCGGTCTTGGCGCCGCCCTTCAGCCGCACCCGGTACTGCAGGATTGACATGTCAGGGAGCCGTTTAGGTCGTCAGGCCGATGAGCTTCCCAAGGCAATTTCAGATACATACGCTTGATCATTTCCAGGTGTCATCCAGTTTTTTAAAACAAAAAGTGACCTGAATACGTTTTTTTAAAAAGCCTTTGAAAGATGAGCTGTTTGTCCTTTGGTTAAAAACTCAAGACTGCTGAAACCCTTTTGAGAATATACGCCAGGGAAAGCATATTGGTTTAGTCAAAAACATATGGTGGTTTTATAATGTCATGTGTGGTTTTGTAAGACTTTTCTAAATTCCCCATATGCTACTCAATACAAGATCTAAATGTTATTTTCTTCATATTTGTGAGATATCATTTTAAAAAGGAAAACGGTAAAGCACCAAGGGCGGAAAAACTCTCATAACATTTTCAAGATATTACCCCCAGCAGCCGCAAGCAAAGGGCAACCAGCCAGCAACACTGGGCTGTTGTCGAAGTTCATGTTTTAGTCCGACTTGGATGCGTTGCAGAGCAGGGGGTTTTCCCTGTACGGACAGAATGACAAATTCTTCTAATCTGAAGCTCCTGAAAGACTCCCACACATTACCGTTGTCTTCTGTTTCTTTTTCTGGCTGCTGCCCACAGCGTACTGGGGGCCTGGAGCGCAGCTGACCACAGCAGGCATGCCTCCCTCACAGCTGGCCGTGGCATTACCCTCGTTGAACTGCAGGGGGCACACTGACAGGTGGACCTCGTGGCCGGTGCAAGCCACTGAGTGAACCAGGTAGTGGTTCTGCTGTCTCTCTGCATACAGCCTGGGTGAAGAGAGTTTACAGTCATCGCCTGGTCAGTACAAGACACTGGACAGCAAGCAGTGGGTCTTACAGACCTGATCCCATTTTCGGCCTCTTTCAGTCTCTCAACAACCTGCTTCCTTAAAAAAAAAAAAACTATTACATACATTAAAAAAACAGGGTTTAAAAAAGAACAGCACATTCTGGTAGTTATATTGCTTTTTTCTTTGTTTTTGAACTGAGACGCGACTAAAAACATCACATTATTGATGTTGACTGCACCCAAGATTTGTAATATTCCTGTTTTCTTAAATGTACTGTATAAGCTGAACTAGGACACAAGCTGCTGCCTGTGAAGATAAAATACAGGCGGAAGACCAAAGCACTGTAAGTCTTTAAGGAAAACATAACATAAAACATCTAGAAGTAGTTTTTTAGCCAGTAGAATATTTACAGGAGTCGGTTCCCTCAAAAGTTAGTAAAGAACTACAGGAATATGTTACAAATAGCCAAGTGATGGAGAGGCAACTTTTATATTCGGTTGACTGATGGCTCCAAAACGACTTAAATCAACTAAATGATTTCCACAGAATCATTTCCTTATAATTAGGTTGTAGTCTCCTTGTAGTTAGGTAGCTCCAATCGCCTTGTGCACACAAAAGAAAATCTTAAGGACTTAACTTCAGGTGCAGGAGGCTGTATCTGGGATTTCCCAGGACACCTCGCAAACAAAGACTCAAGGAAAACCTACCTCTTTCACACAACTGAATACTCCAAGCAGCCAAACCTCACTACATCCTAACCCAAACACCACTAACACCGTGCAAGCCTTTTTATACTTTAATAACCACTAATTATTCCCATGTGAGAATGTGCACCCTAACGCAGTATTACAATAATTAATAGACATCAGGCAAGGCGACAGACAAGAGCTTCAGGCCTTTGCTGGCCCCTAGTGGCGGCTCTACTGTTGCTCTTCAATTTCAACCAGCTTTATTGGCTGACTGATGAATGACAGCTAGGACAATACAATCGACACAACATCTACAGACATTGACATCGCACGAACACATCATTGACATGACAGTCACATACATCACATAAAAAATACTACACTCCCTCCACAAGGATTTGCAAATAGAAACTTCTGGGAAGACACTGGAAGCAATTTTATGTTGCATTTTTAATATCTCTCAGAATATGATTAATTCTGTTAAGGAAGTCTGAGTAAATATATTAATCAAAGAATGCTATAATACACTATTGCCTGCCTATAAATGTCATTAATTTCTGCTCTACTATCATTATCTTGTGAAGGACCAGTGATCTACATACCTTTTGAAGCCTTTGGAAACATTGCTTTAAAAAAATACAGAGGCTGTCTCAATCAGTTTCTTTAAACAAGATTTTTTTCCATAAAAAAACACAAAAGGCTCATGCCTAAATAGAGCACATCAGGAATAACAGATGTGAGAAAAACATGAAACATAAAAGGAGACTTTAAGCAAAATGAGCAATTTTCAGGACTCCTAAAGCCACTGCATTTTTTCCATAAAACGCACTTAGACCAACTGTGACAAAACTGGCATCAACACTGATAAAAACAATAAATTCATACTCATTAGTGAAAGGGTTCATTGTCAGCTACAACAATAAATGCACCTCAGATGGCACAAACATTTGCATTTGCAACATGCCCACGTGGACAGTGCACTATGAAATGACGAGTTTCCGAAATAATCATCTTAGTTAAAAAAAGAAAACAAAGCAATACACACACAGTAAGGTAAACCTGACATCTTCAAGCATGTCAGTTTCTAGTCTAATTCATTTAGTCATCTTTAAAAATAGGATCAGTAGCGTGTTGACTGATCATGTTCTTAAAGATGGTTGATGTAAGCAGAATGCCGAAGAACAGCATTTTGCTGGTATCTATATCTACAGAACGCTGGGACTTGAGGTCTCAACACACACGACAGGGGTGTCCAGCGTGTGGTAGGTGAGGGCTGTGGCTCCTGTGGTTCTGAGAGAGACTATTAACACCAACAATGTAACTTATTTGATTCCTGCTCTTCTGACAGCAAATAGACATACCACTGCTGTAATGTACAATCCTAATATATTTATTACTGTTGATATTGAGACACATTTCCTACTTTTCCAAAATATGTAGGACATTCCAGGATTTGGTGCTCTAGACACATGTACAGTATAATTTTGCCCTTTGCTGTGAACAAGCTGGACACCCCTGGCACAACCGCAAGGAAGGCAGGGAAGGGGTTAATCAAGATTATCCAAAAAAAAGCAGAGCTCTTCAAGCAGCATCAGTCGTTCGGTCTCGGACATTCAGGGAAAATGACTGGCAAGACTTTTCCCCCTGATTACCTTGAGTCCTCATTCTGTTTAGATTTAGCTTTAGGTTTGGGTTTGGGTTTCTGCCTGTAAAGCAAAAGTTCATTAGGAATCCCTGAACATACACATGAGAGCACAGTAACATCTGAACAGCTGGAAAATCACATATTGACCTTAAACAGCAGGTTTTCCCTTTACATGCTGATTATTCATATGTTCATATTCATGTTCTTAGAATGATTACACTTTTAAACAAAAGACAACATACTGTGAAGCAGTCCCAATAATCATGAAGGAAAACAGAGTATGTAACTGGAACACAATGAGCTCTTGCAACATGCTTACAGCACTGCCCACTTTGTCAGAGATGATATCACATTATGTGAACACACATGCACCAACAGAAAACATGCATGCAAAACATCACTCAGTATTACTTTTTACGCCTTAGTTCCAGTGGGATTACATTACATTTTGCAACAATTCTCCTGATAGGTTTTAAGCATTTTAGAATTTCTTCATCCGCAAAGTTACAGATGGAATTGGACAGTCAATGCTTATACACTACATTGAGGTGATCTTTGTCCCAATCTAACAGGTTCTATCAGGGCAACAGACCTCAGCATGCTCTGCAGCCAGAGACAGCACCCTAGGCTGGATAAATGGAACAGCACTTACCATTCTTCATCTCCCTCGTTGTTTTTAATCAAGCCCAAACAAAAATCCAAAGGGATTTCAAATTTCTGTATGTCGCATAGTTTCTAATAATTGGGAAAACAGGCGATACAGCCAGTTTTGTAACAAAACAATAATCTCCCAAAACTTTCTTTTCTGTGAGAGGTTGTACCAAAGTTCCATACTCCAGTCAAGGCAGCCTCAAAAAGTTAAAAGGAAATGTACAATTAAACATCTTTTTTGGCCAGTTTGTTTAACTTCCAAACATTTCACAAAAGCTTTACAAGAACACCTAAGCCAAATGCATTTGTTAGACTTGTTCCAGGTTTCCAAGGTATTTTACTTTTATTCAAATATTTTAATTGTGCTCACCAAACATCTAGCTGTTGAGTTTCAGGACAGTATTGTGAGATTTAAATGTAGTTTCCTTTTAACAACCATGCAAGCAAGCAAACTCCATTCTTTTGAAACATAAGGTGAAAGTATGGTTATAAGAAACATCACCAGAGACGTTGTTAATGTTTATGACAGAGTTAATGCACTCTGTCAATACATATTACACTATATGGGGCAACAATAAATCGACAGTGCTCCTTCACTTATAACTTTTTAGTGATTATTTTTGAGGGGATTCAGACCGGCTTCATCATCACGTTTCGAGTTTGGCATTCCTCTTTTAGGGGCCGTACCAAAACACAAGTTCAATTTGGCAGAATGCGGCACAGCACAGAACTAAGAAAGAGCATGGATTATTCTTGCCCCATCCCAAAGAGACTCTCAAAATATTACAATCAGATTGAACCTTACGAGGAAACTCAATGGTACGAGGGCATGGTTGATTCAAGCTTTTCCAGTATGTTGTGCAAGTTGTCTAGAGCCTCTTATATAAAGGTCATTTAAAAAACTCCACTGGCAGATCATTCTCTCTGCAGCTGCCTCATTGTTGATGGGAGAATACAGCTGAGATTTTCTATGCCCATTTTGAACCCGTATGGGTAGCAAATGAAGAAGAAATGCTTTGTTTCCAGGACTGATCTGTTTTCACTCTGTCAAATGTCCTGATGACGTAATTATTGGATTTTTTTCCAAGAGCCCTGGAGATGACAACCCTCTCCACAGAAGCTCAAGCGTTCACCGGATTGAATCTCAATCTCTGACCACTGGCCAAGCTGATCGCGTCAATCCCACAAACACCTGTCGACACTCAGTTTTCACTGGGGTTTGATTTGCAGCTGGGATCTCCTTTCGATCCAGATGCAATCGGCCATCAAGCAATGGGGTTTCTGATCTGTGAAAGCCCATCTGGTGGAAATGGTTTTATGTGCCTGGACTTAACCTGTTAACCAGCCCACATATTTTAATGGGGAAACTAGAAAAGCCTGGAAGTTTAATTTAATCAGCAGCACCCAAATCGATATTTTTAACATTTGCACAGAACTAAAATAAATGACTGATAAAGGGAACACACTGAAAAATTGATTCATTCTCTATAAGTAGGTAATATTGATCTTCATAGTGCTTCGTGGTTATTGGAAGAAATCTAATTTTAAATTACAGATGGCTTTAAATTAAATCAAAATAATTTTAAGTGAGTAAAGTTAAGAATGTAATTTAATTTCTGGTTATTGAACTGTAAAATGAGATAAATGTAACTTTTGAAAATGAATAACTTTTAAACAACCAAACAAGTACAGTACCCTAAAACATTATTTTTCTGAGGAATTAGTTTACCTGTGTGACCTTTCACGTCACTTAACGTTTTCACAAAACACCTTTCTCGTACAAATTGAGTTTCCAACATGAGGTTCAAATGACGAAGAAAAAGTCTCTCGGTCCAACATGCTGGAGTTGTGACATACTTCGCCTGTGTTATCTAAACACAGACTCCACAAAACAAGGCAACACAGAGTTTTCTAGTGGGAAAATACGGTAACGGATTTTCCCTCACCAAATTACCTGAGTTTGGGCCCAACAATCTTTGGTTTTGCCTTAGCAGCCCTCTTTTTAATTCGTCTGCAACAGTGAAGAGGTAAAAACCTTGTCAATCGACGCAGCACACAGAAGCCATAGCAGTAGTGTCAAAAGTTCAGGAAGACTTGCAGCTCATGAATGGAGAATATGGATAACAACACTCAGGCCTACATGCCATCTGCAAATCACAAACCCAGCAGAGGATGGTGGCCAGGTTGTCTAACACAAGTTTTTGTGTCTGTCCAGCTGAAGCCTACCCTCAACAACTGGGCTTACGATTTACAACTGACAGGTGGGCTGAAGTCTTGTTTTAATTCTTGCATGGGATGTCTCAGGCATCCCATGATACCTGCAAATCCATAAAGTCAACAAGAAACCAGCCAGGAACCAACCCACATTTCAGACACATAGAACATCTGAACGTTTTTCTTGTTCTGTGGGGTGGGGTTGTCTCTTCTGCTTAAACTAAATAACCACCTCCATCTGTTCAATGTTGCTGGACTCCAATGCAGCGAGCTATGCACGCCAACTTTAGGTGGGGTCAAACCACACAGTTTTATGTTGACAACACTGTGAGACCCAAGTTCTACCAATTGTCACAGCAATGCCAACATTGATGTTGTGCCATAGTCTTTCATTATGATAGCTCATGCCACCTGGTAACCATGTCTCAAATCTTTCTTCTTCGGGAAGACTGTATGTCCCACTGTAGGTCCCACTGTACTGCCAGAGCCTAACCCAGCTAAGCATCAGAAGTCAATGCTACTGGACTCATGTTTCCTTTATGGAATGAGAGGGAGACCAAGCTTGTGTGACCAAGCTTGTGTGCCATCTTTTAATCAGCAGTGCACACACCAGGCATGAGTCACCTATACAGGGGTATCTCATATGAATACACCAAGGGATCCGTACCACACTCGACTTTTGAATTTGTTATTTCAACAGATTTTACTATGATCAATTATAAAAAAATAACATTTTTATCCAACATGCATTATATCTGTACCCACATAAACAGCTAGGCATTTTTGTACTGCACATACTGTATCTTCTCAACAATAGTAGTGACCACCAGTCAGAAAACCATTTTTAGAAACCACATCAGAAAAGGACATCATACTGTATACTGAGTTTCTAAAGTGTTTCAGCGGACCCAAATTTAATCCATTGTTTTGTGGCAACATATTCCATTCCCGAACAATGCAAAAAGAAAATCTTCATCTGTCTTAGATCTTATGCGGTCCTGGCAGCTTATGATAGAGTCGCTAGGTCCTTTACAGACACCAGTGTACAAAATGGGAAACACATGCAAGCAGATGCAGAGATGCAGAGCACTTTCTACAGTATATACAGTGACTTGCAAATGTATTCACCACCAATCACTAATGTCATTATTCTGATGAAATAAGGTACTTGTATGCATTTTTTTAAAGTGCAATTTTTTTAATTCAAAACTCTAATGACTATTGACTGCCTGCCTAAATATCCAGCCCCTTGAGTAACAAAGAGAGCCCATATCCTGGCTTCTTAGACAAAACTGTGGGATGAGATCCTCAAATCAATTAGATGGGCCCAGTGCCCTCCTCTTGATTGCACTCTTCACAGTTCAGTATTTCTTAAAATTATAAGGTAATTGCCCATTATTTGACAATGCTGGGATTATATCATGATAAATTTACAGACTAAGAGACCCACTACCTCATGATGAATATTTGTATTCAAAGATGTCAGAGTATTTAGATGCACTCTGGTGAAAAGCATTTGGAAATGTATACTTTTCTGTTCTCTTCTGGAATCTGTCCTGGAACTGAATAAACAACTATGTGTAGCCAGGAATGCAGAGACGGTTACTATAGGTTACAATGTATTATTGGAAGGAATACTCAATTGAAAGTACACTATTTACATTATACTTGCATTCTGCACCATTATTCATATACTAAGTTAAATATTATAGATAAGATAAGATCACTTTATCAGTCATATATAATTCCTTGCATTAGGAATCTGTCTTTTCGCATACCCCAGCTTGCTCTCCATGAGACACACAGACAGGTAGAGAAGCTTGGGGTCAGAGCACAGGGTCAGCCATTGTACAGCATCCCTGGAGCAGTTGGGGTTAAGGGCCTTGCTCAGGGGCCCAACAGAGTAGGATTCCTCTGCCAGCCAAGGGATTTGAACCAGCAACCTTCCAGCCACAGGCACAGATCCTGAGCCACAGAGCCACCGTGAGGTTACTGGAAATGTGAACACACTAGGACAAAAATTGAATACCCTTAACTACTTACAGAGAACACTGAGCCCAAAGGAAATGACAGAAAAAGGCAACTGCCACAATATTATCATTTGGTTGTGGGAGAGTGGAACAAGCTACCCTGCCATGTTGTTGAAGCCGGTACCCCGGCTTCTTCCAAGAAACGACTGGATGAGATCCTCTGGTCAATTAATAATATCAGTCAATAATCCGATCAATATGATCATGAATGGTGCTATTCCAGCAAATGTGCTTTCTTCCTTGAACACACAGGCATAATGTTTTTCCATCATTTTGCCATTTTTCACATTTATCAATATATTAGTCAGTGGAGCTTTAGTCCTTGGGGATAGTCATGCGATCTTAGATAATAGATTCTGAACATGTTCAATCAGAAAAAGGTTGGTAAGGTTCCTCACGAAAGATTTAATTCTCAAGTTGCAGGCAGCAAGCTTTCAAGTGTGCAAGGACTGAGGACCAGAGGGTACAGATGAGGTAAACATTCTAATGTATTGACAGAGGTACTCCTAAGAACGTCTTCAGAACACTGCTAAAACACAAACCAGACATTACAAATGGAAACTATACATAAGTGCATTCAAAACAGAGATGAAACACAAAAGGTTAAGGCACAGAACAATCTACCCAGCCAAACTGTTGAATCTGAAACTCTAGGTTGGGATGGGATGAACAGCATCCTTTCATTTATAACCCTTCTTATGTTTTTATTCATACTGTATACTGTACACTGTTCCTAAAGGTAACTTTCTTCTGCAATAACACTCCATACTTACAGTAGAAAAATATATCATTACTTCCCCAAAATAAACAGCAGACATAAACATTTGCTGGCCCCAAATTACACTTTATCTTTTCACGTGCTTCTCAGAACTGACACTGAAAAAGACTAATTGTTTTTTTTTTTCTGGAAAGGAAAGTTCGGAACACTTCATCATGAACTTTCCAGGTAAACCTCACCCCCATCTGCAGCGCAGGTGCCGAAGATGCTCTCCGGCTGTTTAGAGAGGATCAATCATGGACTGATGTCTCACAGAGGAAAGATGTGAATGATCTTTTGATGTTTCAGTTTTAATGAAAAATAGGTTTGGTTACAGGAGAACCATTCTCAGGTTCTGCGGCTTTTATAGTCCTCTTAAGCTCTTCAAAATCTAAAGAGCTAGCTGGATACTACATCAGATGAGACAGAGATAAATTCTTGTTAAATACTTACACTGGTAAACGGAAAAAAACAAATGTGGATCTGCAAGTAATAAATATCACTGTTTTATATAGTTATTAAAGATATAATTGGTCGTTTACTATGTGTGCACTTGTGAGCACAGCTGGTGTTTAGCATTGTTATCAGGCTGTGGTGCTGTACTTTCCAATCCTGTCCAGCTAATCTTGAGCCTACTGTAGCACAACAAGGTTTTCAGCCCTGCACTTGATCATCTACTGTATTTTAGCTTTAATTCTGTATTACCCTACATTAAGGGGTCTCCAGCCCTGGCCCTGGAGAGCTCCAATCCAATTAGCCTTATGCATCACCTGTTCCTAAAAACAGGCATCAGTGATCAATCAAGTAAAAGGTTTAATTAAAAAATGATGGGCCATTAGTTGAAGTGTACTTGGTCCTAAATTATCTTTAATGTAATGTAATGATTCTATATTTTAAGAAACCTGGGACCAGGTTGGGAAACCCTACTGTATTTTATCAGAAAACATTTGGTAAAGTACTATGCTCTACACTGATCTACAGTAACGTGATATATCTCTCTATACGCCATGTAAGGTGTTTTAAATATATAGTAAGCTGTACACAACCTCTTTTGTTTGGTTGTTTTATTGCACAGAACCCTAAGACAATGCATTGTGAAAGGCTCTACATAACAGGAAGTTTATCATTACAGTTTGGTTTCATTAGAGACTAAATTTTAGTCTTACAGGTAAAATACAGGTATATTTTGTAATGACTACATCACATTGAATTATTGTTGTGTTGAATACCACTGTACAGTCCGGATTGCGGTATTACAGTTATGCACAACGCGAGATATAATTCACATTTATAAATCAGTGTAGTATGTGTCTCTGAAACGTTTGTGGTCTATTTCAGAATTTATCTGTATTTAATGAGCTAGATTTTTAATTCAAAGGGCCGCAAATAATTGGCTCTTAGTGAAAGAAACAAGCTGCTCCTCTATCATCGCGACAGCATGCTGTTAGCCCTTCGGTACGGTCGTAACGTCCAGATCTGGAATTAATTCATTCTGCCCTGGGTTTCAGCATCTACACTGCAGCTGTTTTTCTTTTCCTTGGGGAACTGCAAAGAAAAATCCCAATATTGGGTTTCTGTAAAAATAAATAAATGACTTTAAATTGCCGAGGTGGAGGTGCGATGACTTCAGAGGAAGGCTCGTGTGACTCAAAAGCCCCCGAAGCTCTTCAGATCGTTCCTTGGTTCTCCTGAGCTCGCAGTCTAGGTAAACGTGGGCAGCGCTTGACCTCTGAGTCCCTCTTGGCAGTGCTGCCGCCCACCAGCTGGGGCCGTTTCAAGACGTGTCTGCTGCTCCCCCCAGACCCCACACCGTCATCCATCACTGGTGATTTACTGAGACGCCAGGCCTCCGCGAACGCGTTTCTTCTCACACGGGTGCTAACCTGTGGCACGAGAGTCATAAAACCTCCCACCCGACAAGAGCAATGCCAGCTCCCTATAGTCCAACCAGGAGAAGAACACCCTTTTTGTACTTGAGAGACTCCATCATTCTTGCTAAAGCCTACAACA